AACGAAATATTAAAAGAGAATACGGGAATTAAATGACGTAATAACTAAACTTAACGAAAATGACTAAAAATGATAAAAACGGATATTCTAATGATTAAATGAAAATGAACTAAAAAGGAAAGACAATATTGAACTAAAGCTTAAAGAAAATCGGTGTAAATCAATGGAGAAAAGGCGTTGGGGTTCAGGGAAGTTTTCTCAGGGGTACGAACGATTCAAAACATTGCTAGAGAGGAAATTTTGTAAGATCTTAGCTTAAACTTTTCGAACTGGAGTCACGGACGTATGAATACGCCACTGTCGTGATCATAGACAACTATCTCTCTCAACCCTGACCAGTAGGTTTCCACTCTGGCCCTGGAAGAGAAGAGATGCATTATGTTTAAGACTCGTCCTAATTCACAAACGCCCATAGGTAGGTTTCCACTCCTATGTTTGTTTTGCTCTCCTAAACTAGATCTGATACCTGATGAACACTTTCGCGTCACCAAGCATCTGGATCAGATTGTAGTTCATGACGCTACCTCATGCAGTAAAAACGAATTCAGAAGAAAAAGTTCTAAGATTCGGCTCAAAAGCTCATGGAATCCTCATTGAACATATAAATCCCCATCGAAAATCCCTTATTCCCAACAATAAAACTACTCAGACATAATAAACGAAATCAAAGTCATAGTATTAAGATGTAGAATAGAAACCGAAATTGAAAAAGAAAGAACAAGGGTTCAAGAGAACAAATCTCTCTCTCCCTAAAAGCTAAACCAAAAACAATAAAAATATGAAGTAATGATAGATGGTATTCGGTTACACCATTTCTAGGGCTCCTAAGACATGTATTTATAGTGCTCAAGACCTCTTTGGACGTCACTTAGGGTTTCTCCAAATGTGGGCTTCAGAAATGGGCTTTATGGGCTCGGAGGTTGAAGGCTGCGGTCAGGACAAGTGTGACCGCGGTGGATGAGTGGTTTTGCCGCGGTCGGGATGCTCCTGACCGCGGGAAATAGCTTGTTGGCCGCGGGTGGAAGTGCTGGCCAGCTGGTTTACGGGACATCTTGCTCTTCGCGTATCTTTTGATTGAACCGTTGGATTGCCAAGCTGTAAAGTGCACTGGAAAGCTGATACTTCCATCTTTAAGGTCTCCAAATTTGAGCTGGATCAGACGGTGAGAAGGCCTTCAATCAGGGGTGAACTTCTGACGGTTTGACTCTGAGCTGAAATCTGGTTTTCTATCCATTTTGTTAAGTTTTTCCCTAAGTTACCTGAAAAGAGTTTTGGAACTACAAATACTAGAAAAACGTGATAAAAGTATTTAAAAAGCAATTAAAAACATAGAAAAAATATTTCAAAACGATCCATAAAAATGGTCAAAATACGGTGTTATCAACATTTCGCGCAAAACACCGAGCATAAATCTAGTAATTATAATATGAATTTTTTCAAAACATATCGTTTATCATATAGAAGCTATATCTATGGGTTCATTTATTTATAAAGGGGTCGAAAATTAAAGATATAGCCACAATAAGAGAAAATTATCTTTTTTTTACTAGAGAAAATTACCTATTTAAGGATTGAAAAGACGCTATTAAAGTGTTTATTGGTTCACCCGCTATCATCTGCAAACGTTGCGTTTGCGGTTGGTAGCAGTTAGTGCCATTTTATAACAATCATAAAAATCTCTGCAAACCGTTCTATATCTTTTTGTACCGTTCAAATCCAAAAGTTGCTTCCTGCAAGTGTTTGCAGTTGCGGGCGGTAGCGGTTGATTAAAAAAAATCACACTAGAAAAAAATAGAAAATCACGTTAAAAAAATTAAAACCATAACTCTACTAATCGTCTCCTATATATATATATAAACCCTAACCTATCACTTTTTCTATTAAATCTAGTCCATAATTATACTTCCATACTAGTTGAAGAAAGTCAAGACACAAGTGTAAGTGTTATAATAGTTTGGTTTAATTCATTCATATCGATTGTTTTTTTTTTGTTGATTTCCAATATGCTTTTTTTGTTTAAGAGTTTTTAATTTATAGTTTGTGATATATATATATATATCTATATATATATTAATTATTTGAATTAGTGATTTTGATATCTAGCATAATAATATAGTTTTATGTTTTTTTAATAATTATATATGATGTTTATTTTGATAATTTTATGTTTAATCGCAAAAATATCTGATAGTTTGTCAATCAAAATTGTCCCGCAAACAGACCGCTTTAAAAAGTTTAACCAATCGTACAAACTGCTTAATAACGCTTAAAATTAAAACTGCAATCGTCCGCTTCGCATTCGCAACCTCAATCTCTGCGATTAAACCAGTCAAGTTCTAAGTATTAACTCTCATCTGTGCGTGAGAAAGTGTGTTGTTTACTTGCTTAGAGTATCTGTAACGGGGGTTTTAAACGGATTTTAAGATGGAGTTCGTTAATATTTTGGATTTAAAAAAAAATGATTAAAGCCCAATATCGTTCAATCCTGTTCTTACAGATTAGAGACGTTCTTAGAAGGGGTTCATAACTGACGTGTCTCTTTCTCATTCGTTCAACAAGAATTTTTTTTTACGCTCTCTCTCCTCTTCGACTTTCTCTGATTCTTCGTTTGTGTCCATGTTTATTTCTCGTCTTCCAGCCAAGATTCTTTCTCTGGTGATTTCAGATCATGGGCTAAAAAAATGGAAGCTTTGCATGAACCCACTTGGAGAAGAGCTGGGATTTTCATTCGAATTAAAGCATCACTCTTTCCTCGATCATCGTTGCGAATGGAACCGACGGTAGTGCTGGAGGCTCAATTCGGAGAGGAATTCGATCACGTCGATGACCCAAGGCCTTCCGGAGATATCTCGTTAGTGAATGTGGAGAAGAAGGAGCTGCTCGATGAGGAGAAGGAAGAAAACAGCGATTCTGGTTCGAAGAAATAACAGAGGAAACAAAATAAGAATGAAAAAAAAGCACCTGTTCAAAGAAATCAGAGGATTTAGATGGTGAGCTTCAACGGCCATCGACGTTTTTTACTCTGCTTTTTTTTTTAACTTGTGAAACTGGTTCGAAGGTATTTAATGGGCGATTCAGAGAGGAACCTCCAAAAAGGTGAATGCAATGAAAGACGGGAAGAAAAGAAGTAATGGGAGGTTGTGGGGTTTTTAATTTTGTATGAACCTCACCACTGTAGGAACAAAATTATGTAAGGTTCTAATTTTTAAGATAAAATTGGAAATTTAAAACACAAATAGAAGTACTTGTCCTTTTAATATTATTTTTTAAAAATTTGTCCCTTTAATACTATTTTAATTGTAATCTTTTTTTACCCTTAAAATTCGATTTTTTTTTCATATTGATAAATTGTTTTTAATTATTATTAATGAAAAATAAAAATTATACAATAAAACAATACATTTACCCTTAAAAGTCGATAATAATAATTCATCGTCTTTTCCGATATCGTTTTCTCCATTCATTTTCCATCGACTTTCCAAACCATCGTTGATTACCATCACTCTTCTCAATCTATTTAATCTCCTTTTCATTCAATCTCTAAATTAGGGTTTAAAATCCCAAATTGATTTTGGATAATTTTGTTATATCCGGCGATAAGCAAAGAGAATAAAGATGAAAGAGGTGATATTTACGTATCATGTGCCTTGATGGTGCCACGTTTTCTTGCTTCTATAGAAGTGTAGTGAACGAGAATCCTCGTTTAACAGGATAAAGGCTACATTGGATTTGTCTTCCTGGTTTTTTGTCTTGATTTCCACTGGGACCTGGTTTCCTTAGAACTAAAGTTTCATAATTGAATTTTCCTACCAGATGGAATTTACAGAATCTACTTCCTATCTGCTAAATTGGTAATCTACAGAATATAGCTCTAAACTTGTAACTTCATCGTCCAATGAAGATTCATTATAAAAAGCCAGTTTATGTGCTTGATTTCAAAGTTACTAATCGACCTTTTTTTTCTTCATCGACGGCAAAAACCCAATACTTATTGAGAACCTATTTCCATATACCATAAGTGACATAGATATGTACCATAATTGAATAACCAGAACAGAAAAAATATATATATATGTAATTGTTTGACAAAGATCGTCAAATTGTCGTGAAGGAGAAGAAGAAAAGAAAAAAAATTCAAAAAAATAATAAATTGAAAATAAATAAAAAAAAGAAAATAAAATATTTTTAAATATTTAATTTTTGTTGGTTATAACCTGATTGATTTTGTTAACTGTTTCGTAGAATATAGATTTTATAATCATTAATTTTAGACAAATTAGTAGAAGTTGTATTCTAGAAAACGTAGAATATAGAAAGAATAATAGAACACATATTTTAAAATATGTAGAACATAGTACAAATTCTAGATAAGGTATTCTATAAGGATATTTAGAACACAAAACAAATAGTAGAATTTCAATTCTATATTCAGTAGATCTTATACTAAAGAGTAGAAATCAGATTTTAGAAAACACTAGAATTATAGAACACATTTTCTAGAACATATTTAAAAACTAATTTTAAATATACTTATTTCCTAAAACAATGTTTTAGAATAATATTCTTTCTTTTTTGGAATTTTCAGAATTTATGAGTATTTATAAATATTTATTTCAAAAATAAAAAGTATTTAAAATGTTATTTTGGTCCAAAACTGCCAAAATTTAAAAAAGTATTAAAAAGATAAATATTTCCATTTTGTGTTTTAAATTTCCAATTTTTTCAATTTTGTATAGATATCAAAAATTTATTACTATTTTATTGTTTATGAACTCCAAAAATAGTTCACCATTGAGTGCTCTTATGTTCATTTTCAAATTGAAATAATTATTGAATTTATAGTTTCTGAAATTATTTTTTTGACAACCAATTTTGGATTTTGATAACGAAACAAAGAAGCCGACGAAATGGGATCATAATGAGGCCATATTACAACATTCTTTCGTATAATTCCAACGTCTCTCTTCTCCTTCTTCTCCTTCTTCTTTCACCTCTCCGAGATCAGAATCAATGGCGATTTGATCAAAAGTAAAGCAGCAGCAAGCTCAAATCCTCGACTATGGAAGCGGCTAATCTTATACAACATTATTCTTCTCTCACTAGATTCCCTTTTCCCGTGAAACCCACTCTCCGTCTCGCTCGACCCAACTCCTTTCTACTTCTTCCGATTTATACCTCCGCCTCTCTTCGTCTTCCACGACGGTCAATCCGTATACTGACGAAATCGGCCTGCGAAAACCACAATCACGATCACCACCACCACCACCACGAGCACGATCACGATCATCATCACCATCACCGACATTGCTGTTCTGTGGAATTAACGGTATCGAATCATCCTCAGAAAACGTTGATCGAGTTCGCTAAAGCTATCGGATGGATTCGATTGGCAAATTTCCTCAGAAACCACCTCCATCTTTGCTGCTCCTCCGCCATACTGTTCATCGCCGCCGCCGCTTGCCCTTACTTGATTCCTAAACCCTACATTAAACCAATTCAGAATTCCTTCATGATTGTTGCTTTCCCTCTTATTGGAGTAAGGATTCTCCGATTTCTCTAATCTCGTATTTTCGTCGTATTCAGTGCTAAGAAACAAATCGGTTTCTTAGATTTCAGCATCTCTCGACGCACTTATGGATCTCGCTGGAGGAAAAGTGAACATCCATGTTTTAATGGCACTAGCAGCTTTTGCATCTGTGTTTATGGGAAACGCTCTTGAAGGAGGACTGCTTCTATCCATGTTCAATCTTGCTCATATCGGTGCGAACTTGTATCTCTTAAAGGTTTCTTGATTTGATGACGTTGAAGCTTTGCTTGAGTCTATATCTTTTGCTGCAGCTGAGGAGTTCTTTACTAGCAAGTCGATGGTGGATGTTAAAGAGTTGAAGGAGAGTAATCCAGATTCTGCATTGGTGATTGATGTGGATGATGATGATGATAATGCTCCAAACTTTTTCGATTTGTCATACAAAAGCGTCCATGTGCACAATGTACAAGTTGGATCCTATATTTTGGTAGGAACTGGTGAGGTTTGTGGAACTCGTCTCTTTGCTTTTCGGTTTCTTGAAATTCCTGTAAACCTTTGATACGACATTGGGATGTTATATATGTTTAGATTGTGCCTGTGGATTGCCAAGTCTATCAAGGTAATGCTACCATAACAATTGAGCACTTGACTGGTGAAGTGAAGCCATTGGAAGTAAAAGCTGGAGATAGAGTGCCTGGTGGTGCAAGAAATTTGGATGGCAGAATTATTGTCAAGGTGTATAATTTGACCATATGCGTTGCGTAGTACTTTAGCTTGCACTATTTGGAACTCTCATGCTTAATTATCTTCAACGGAATCAGGCTACAAAAGCATGGAATGAGTCGACACTAAATAAGATTCTACAGTTGACTGAGGAAGCAAACTCTAATAAGCCCAAACTTCAGAGATGGCTGGATGAGTTTGGTGAGGTTTACAGCAAGGTGGTGGTTGTTTCATCAGTTGCTATTGCCTTCCTTGGTCCAATTTTGTTCAAATGGCCGTTTCTCGGCACCGCAGGTATGTATAGTCATCCTTTTCTTCTACCTGAGATGGGTTTTAGCGATTGACTTACTTTGATTTGGTTGCTGTTTGATGATATGCAGCATGCAGAGGATCTGTTTACAGAGCATTGGGACTTATGGTGGCGGCATCACCGTGTGCCTTGGCAGTTGCTCCATTGGCTTATGCTACTGCTATCAGTTCCTGTGCCAGAAAGGTATCTTACAAGTACTCTATCTAGTCAAAGCTGAGTAAACTGGTATAAGCAAGTGCTAGCTAGCTCTTTTGCTTTCTTGTTACTTGTGATCTTATTGCAGTTCTGTGCGTTGGTTTGCACACATCTTACTATCTATATTTTTATTTCCTTTTTTTTTTTGCTGTGTAGATGTAACTTCACGTGAAATCTGTCCACTTTTTTATAGGGAATATTGCTGAAAGGTGGACAGGTACTGGATGCTCTAGCTTCTTGCCACACTATTGGTTTTGACAAAACCGGGACCTTAACGACTGGAGGCCTTACATGCAAAGCAATTGAGCCTATTTATGGGCATGAAGCAGGAAATGATGCAAGTGTAACTCCTTGCTGTATGGAAAATTGTGAAAAAGAAGCCCTAGCCATAGTAGCTGCTATGGAGAAAGGTACCACACATCCTATCGGAAGGTATTGCTCCTTAAACATCAGTTTTCTTATACAGGTAACTTATATAACTCGTGGCTATTAACAGAATCAAACCCATCTATTTTGCAGAGCAATGGTAGACCACAGTGTTGGGAAGGACCTGCCTACTGTTTCTGTTGAAAGCTTTGAGTATTTTCCTGGTAGAGGCCTTACTGCTACTGTTAACTGCATTGAGGTGCAAGCAAATTATTTACTAGATTCAGTCTCTTTCATTAACCAACCTCTCACTACAACTTTTTTATACAGTCGGTAACCGAAGACAGTAAACATCAGAAAGCGTCACTTGGTTCCGTAGAATTCATTACTTCACTCTTCACATCGCAAGACGAGTCTAGAAAGATCAAGGATGCTGTAAATTCCTCTTTATACGGAAATGACTTTGTTCATGCCGTTCTTTCACTTGATCAAAAGGTATACTGTTTCTTGATTTCAAGCTCTCCGCACGCAGAGAAAGTTATGAGCTTGCAACTCTTTTCTTTACTAGGTAACGTTGATTCACCTCGAGGATCAGCCTCGTCCAGAGGTATCAAAAGTCATAGCAGAACTTAAAAGCAGGGGCAGGCTAAGGATAATGATGTTAACTGGAGATCATGAGTCAAGTGCTCGGAGAGTTGCGAATGCTGTTGGTATTGATGAAGTCTACTACAACCTAAAACCAGAAGACAAACTGAATCATGTCAAAAACATCTCAAGAGATTCAGGTGATGATGATCATCTTCTTCTTAATAAATGGATAATATGCTAGAAGAACCAATAAGAGACAGAAAACTGAATTCAAGTTGGATTAGGTGGAGGTTTAATCATGGTGGGAGAAGGCATTAACGATGGCCCGGCTTTGGCTGCTGCAACTGTAGGTATCGTTCTTGCTCAACGTGCAAGTGGCACTGCTATAGCCGTTGCCGATGTTCTACTCCTCCGAGACAACATCACTGGTGTTGCGTTCTGTATCGCCAAATCCCACCAAACAACATTATTGGTAAAATAACAAAGCCTTTTTAAGTAAATGTAAAAATGTCAGCTTATATTCGTATTATCATCTTGCAGGTTAAGCAAAACGTGGCTATCGCGTTAATCTCGATATTCTTAGCCGCTCTTCCATCGGTTCTCGGTTTTCTTCCTTTATGGTTGACGGTAAGTAACCATGAACATGCTTCTCTAAAGCTTCTAACACAGTTTCTCTAAGCTTCTTCTATTGAACCGTAACAGGTACTTTTACATGAAGGCGGTACGCTTCTCGTGTGCCTTAACTCGATACGCGGTTTAAACGATCCTTCGTGGTCATGGAAACAGGACATAGCTCATATGATCAGCAACTTCAACTCAAGAAGATCAATCTCCCACACCAATAGTTTAAGCACTGCACATTAGTTTAACCCTTAAAACGTATATATTCAAATTGATCAAAATCAATGTCGTTTCAATTATTCAAATGGGTTTGAATCTCAAAAGATGAAAATGGCTTTTTCTCTGCAATTCCTTTCATTGTTTACACAATTTTTCTCTCATAAAGCACTAAGCTTTGTGCTTTTTTTTTCACTGTACATTTCAACATTACTTTCCCGAGAAAATAACAGAGGAAAAAAAACGATTTTGATTCTCTCACTCACTACTCGATCTTCCCTATCCCAATAAACTCTCTAAACCCTACATTACGACCATTAGCTCCTTGCACCATACACGAGCTCCCTCCTCCGCCGCTCCCTCGCTGTAAATCCGCCATGTAACTCCTCACCTCCGTCTTAATCATCTCCTGCACCACCGTCATGAAATCCCCACTAAATCCCGAAATCCCTCTCTCCTTCTCCTCTTCTTTCCTCACCGGAAACAGCTCCACCGTATCTCTCTGCTGAGACCAAGGAAGAGACAAGCTCAGAGAAGTCGCCGGATCCTTCGCCGTCGATTCAATCACCACTCCACCGGCTCTCGCCGTCGGTTTAAACACATGAGAAGAAGACGGCAAATTAGGCCCGCTAGATTGCTCGCTGACGTCAGATCCCGATGGACTTCCGGGACTCATAAACAGCCCCGTCGACACAGCTCCTCCTCCTCCGCTCGCCGTCCGTTTCAACGGCTGCTCATCCGTTAAATTACCATCATACCCTCCGTTTCCACCGAAATCACAGCTCTGCCCCTCGTCGGACGTCCATCCGCCGCTGCATTTCCGCTTCAGCGTCGAGTTCCAATGATTCTTAATCGCGTTATCGGTGCGACCGTTGAGAAGCCGAGCGATCGTCGCCCACTTGTTGCCGAACCGCGCGTGCGCGCGTAGGATCGTGTCGTCTTCCTCCGCCGAGAAAGCACGGTGTTCGACCTCCGGAGAAAGCTGATTGCACCACCGTAGGCGGCAGGATTTGCCGGAACGTCCCGGGATCGATTTGCTTATCAGAGACCAGTTCCTTGGTCCGTGCTTTTGCACTAGCGTCTGCAATAGGTCGTCTTCTTCAGGACTCCATGGACCTTTAATCCGATCCGTTTCTTTCCGGGTCGAACCAGACATCGCCGGATCTTTTTTATATTTTCAAATTAGTCGGAACCTTTTAAACGCGTTCTCTTTGGTTTTGTTTTTGGAGAAAGAAAAAACGATTTTAAGAGGATAAGTGGGAGCGAAGAGAGAGTATTTATACGAGATGTGATGGTTAAATGGGCCACCGGTACTACCGGTAACTTTTTCTCGTTAATTAACAATAGATTATTACTCTTTTTGCCGTTTCAATTTTTTTTAAATAACAGTAGAATTATATTCGCTTCATAATTTACACTAATGCATACTAATTCATAATTTTAAGATGAAAATATTTTAAAAAATTCTTGTATAAATTAAAGATTAAAATTCTGGGTTTAGAATATAGTTTAGATTTTAAAATTATGAACGTATGGTTTAAATTTATAATATTTTGACTATTTTTGTACATTTGGTATAAAATATAGAATAATTTTTAAGAGCCTCTCAATTTACAAATCAAGAATAATATAAAACATAATAGCAAAAGTAGTACTCCTATAAATATTTCAAGTTTTGAATGTAGACAAAAAAAACAGTTAATTTGAATTTGAAAAGTAGGAGGAAAATATTTAATTTATTGTAACACTAAATTAAGCACCTAATTATGCTTTTTGAAGATGTAACGTGAGTAGTCTGATAACACACCGGCTTTGTAATGATTGTAACGTATTTTGAATTTCCTTTCATTTTTTCAGGAGTAATTTTTGTAGAGCAAAACATAAGAAAATATAAAACAGCAGCGATTGGCGGTGCGATTGGGGAAATGCGTCTGTGGTGTGACGTTAAAATCAAGAGAGAATCTTCCAGGAAAACGGTTGGGGATTTGGGATACAGCTGTAAGGGGACACGTGGCATATGAACACTGAGAGTACTTGTGGTACTAAAGAGCGTTTCACAGGTGGAGCGTTTTTATTCCAATCATTTCGTTTATTCAGTTTTTTTTTTCTTTTTGTGTGAAAGATACTTCATTTTCAATTTAAAAGATACTTGACGCAGACCCAAATCAGTCGTTTTTAAAAATTAAAAAAAAAATCAGTGAAAAAATTAAAATTGTAACTCAGTTATTATTCGTTGATTTGTTTGCATACTTATTAGAAACGTATAAGTATCCATATATTTATTGAAATTTGAATGATTCTAGTTTCTTGTTGGATTTTTCGGTTTTTTCTCTTTTTCAAAAACTGTTTTATCACTAAGTAAGCCAATTTTTCAGAGACTTTCTGACTGAGAGAGAAAGCCAGCCTGTAAGCCATAATTATTCCAATAAAAATTTCAACTGAAAATAAAAAAATCAGTTATTTCGGATATAAAACTAACAACAAAAAAATAATAAGATGCTGACGTAACGGAAAACGACAAAATCTTGTGGGTCGCGAATCAGAGAGCCGATCGTTATTATTTTTTTTGTATTTCGACAAAAATAAATTGTTTATTAATTTTAAATGGGAGAAGACAGGCTGTATAACCCTTATGCTCTATTCCTTTAACGGCCACTTCCCCACCTGCCGGTAACCCACCCACTCCTCTTTTATTTTTTTGGGGTTTATTTTATCTTTCACTATTTGTTTCCACTAAAAAATTTGGCTCTAAAAAAAAAAAAAATTTTGGGATATAAATATCCTATCGGAGTTTGAATCTCTTCTGTTTCGGTACATACGTAATTTTGCTTTGTATAAGTTGTTTTAATAACAGAAATTTTCTTATATAAAAACACAAAAAAATCTATGAAAATTTGAGTTTTCTTAGCACTTCAAACGTTTATAGATGCCCAACCATTATTTAAATCACAATGAGAAAAATTCAAATCTTGATCTCAAAGAAACATATATAATCTTTTTGGTATGAATATTAACATCATAATAAATAAAATGTAGCGGTATTACAAAAAATATATTATCTATAAATAATATTGGCAAAAAAGTAATAACGATTATAATCGACTGGGTAGAATTTTTCCAAAAAATAATAAAGCCAGAGAAGCATAAGCTTTCTCAATCATTGTTCTTGAAGATGAGCAGAATGGATTGATCGTACGTTAAAAAGATTATTATTAGTCATCTGCTTCCATATGTGAATGATTTGGTTTTTGGGTTGTGAATAACTGCAAATAAAAAGAGTGAAAAAAATGCGTGTATGGACACTAATACTTTCATATTCAGTTTTTTCACCCATGTATATTATTAAAACACTACACTGCGAATAAAACACATGGAAATCCATGTTACTTGTAAATTAGAGTATTAGACTACACAATTCCAAAAGATTGCCCATAATGATAGAAGATAAATTTGAAGATCTGTCGTACACTACACACTTATACGTACGGTTCCAAAAGATTGAACATAATTTCATTACGAAGATGAAATCGAATGCCCAAAAAAAAAAGATGAAATCGAAGATTTTATGACCATACTATCTATATACAAAATAATTAAAGATTTATGTCCAAATTGTGTCTCTTTTATTTATCGTCTTGTTTCAACATCGTCTTCGAAATAGAGTTATTACTTCAAAAATAAAGAGGATAAAACGGAAAACATTTTTTTTATATAAAGAAAACAATGGAATACGTTAAGCCGTACATGAGTCGTGTACTGCAGAGAAACCACGCACATGTTCCCATACCATTATACCAACGGGAGCTTCGCGTAAGCTTCCTCCTCAAACTCTTTAAATAATCAAAGTATTGAAAAGTGTTATCAAGAGGGAGCAAGATTCTGTCTAATTAGTGAAACAAAATCGTAGTTTCAAGATTCTTTCAAGACATAACAGTGTCATTAATGGAGATACGGTATGAGATTTTCCCTAATTGGTCCATCGTATCTACTACCAAATTCATTCTTCCCATAATTTTATACTAACCACTAATTATTCCTGATTTTTAACTATTTAGTTTTTTTATTCAACTGTTAATGTCATTGACCAAGTAACATGTACTTTAAGTGTACATGGTCCGTAAATGTAATTGTACTCGGGATTAAGTAAAATAATTGTTTTAAAATAATTATTTATAAAAACAGTTATTGTTATAAACTTTACGATAAACTGCATATTTTTTTGGTTGAATTTTTTAAAAATAAGTTGATCTGTATATAGAATCATTTTTATTTTTTGGGAGTGTTATCATATTATATGATTTTTTTCCATATATGCATTATCTCATAAATTATCCCGTATAATTGTCTGTAGTTTAGCTTTTTTCGGAACGTTATCATATTATATGATTCTTTTTTGTATATGCATTCTCTTGTAGATTAATTTTTTTAATATTCATATAATGATGATTTTATTGTCTCGTAGATTTTTTTCCTCATATATGCATCTCGTAGATTAGAAGTTTATTCACATAATAATTATTATTATATAATTCTTTTTCTCATATATGCTTTTTTTCGTAGATTATATTTGATTTTTTTTTATTCACATAATGATGATTATATTGTCTCGTAATTTTTTTTTCCATATATGCATTCTCTTGTAGATCTCGTAAAATACTCCGTACAATTGTTGTAGTTTAGCCTTTGTTCGGAGCGTTATCATATTATATGATTTTTTTATATATATGCATTCTTTCGTAGATTATATTATTATTTTTTTAATATTTACATAATGATTACATTGTCTCGTATATTTTTATTTCATATATGTATTTTTTGTAGATTAATATTTTTTCATATTCACATAATAATGATTACATTTACTCGTAAATTTTTTCTCATATATGCATTATGTCGTAGATTAATTTTTTTTTTTAAACCACTTTCGTCCCAAATTACTATTATTTAAGATTTTGTAATTTGGCCCACAAAATTTTTTATAGCCAATCAATTAATATATAAGGTTTAGTTATATAATATCTTACAAATAAAAATTCTCTTTTGTAAAATATTACAAATATTTTATAATTAAGATTCATTTTTATAAATGTCTATTCATAGAGATATCTTATTTAATAAGTTTGCATTCGCTTCACGTGAGATTTTATATCGTCTACTCTCGATCTCTTTTTCTTGATACTTAGGAAATTGTGTGCATATGAAATATTTAGGTTGTATTTGTATTGTTTTGTTTCCCTCTTTTACAGAAATGCATACAAAAAATATCATGGATTGTACATCCCAAAATGTTTATGGTAAAAAGAACGACCCATGTATAGCTATGCCAGTAACTGCAAGGAGTGCTAATCAAACATTTTTGGAAGTACTATGCAGGTTTTATATATTATCTTTACCCCAAAAAAAAGTTATCCATAAATCTTAACATTACACACCAAAAAAAAAATATTGAATGCAAGGAATCCATTGCAGTATCACTTTTCGAATGAGGTTTCTGGTAAATTGGGGACTATATGCAAATTTACTCAAACATAATTGTCGGATGATGAAGGATCACATGAACTATCTATCTATATATTTATTTGTGTAGTAATTTGCTTACGTGTCGCGCTCACAGCAAGTCTCACCGTTTTTCGCTTGCGTGTCAGTTTCAAAATGAGTTTTGGCCGCGAAAAGATCGTTTAACCCTATTATCCAATTAAGTGTTATTTTTTATTGGTTCTTATCTGATGACGTGTAAAAAAACTTAAAACATACCGGTCTAAATTATTATGGTTTAATGCTTAATTTTGTACTCAATCAAACCGTTTTTAAAATTAGATAAAACCGCAATTTAGAAAAATTTAACAAAAACGTTTTTTCAAAAAAACATAAAAAATTAGAAATTTAAAAGGAATCTATATCTCTTAGTATTTATCATTTTATGTTTTCGAAATTTAGAAAAAATCTAATAAAAATGTTAAAAGAAACAAAAATAGAATATATTTAAAAAAAATAATGAAATGTAGTTACAAAACAAAAAACAAAACAAAATTTTAACAAAAATCTAACCAAAAAGGTAAAGAAAATTAGATAATATATATATATATATATATATCTAATTAATGGAAAATCATTTAAACAAAAATCATGATTATAAACCACCTACATTGTTTAAAAAGATAATTATGTGAGTAAAATTTCTCTTATTTATATTTTCGTTGACAACTATAACTAATTTTAGAACCATGATTATAAAACCATACATCGTTACTATTTTGTAGGAAAACAAGTTCTACAAATGACATAAGGGAGTCTATGGTTTCCCGTCTTAAAAAAAATCCTAGATAAACACAATCCTCTTGTGAAAGCATTTAGACCTGTCCGAGATCAATTCAGTGAGACTTCAGATAATCAGAATCTGAAATTAAAATTGATTTATGAGAAGGATTTAGATGAGAGGACACATAATCTGCTAACTGTCAACGAAGTTGCTGCTTTGATACTAGGAGATTTTGTTTTGGGAACAAACTCACAAGATATAATTTTAGAATGTACAAGTAGGAATCTACAACACATTAAGGAATTGCATCCAGTTTATTTGCTTCTGCAGTATCACCTACTTTTCCCGTATGGTAAAAATAGTTTTCGGCTAGAAAATAACATAGGTTTCATGGATACAACTGGACAGAAAAAGAAAAACAAGAACAATGTGTGAGTTCTTTGCTTTCCGTATTCAAAAGAAAGTGATTTGGTGAAGCACCTACTCTAATAATATCGGGAAAATTCTATCAACAATTATTTTCTATGATTAGGATGTTCTGAATCAAGATTTGTATATTCCGCCAAATTTAGACCATAGCGTAGCATGTTATATGCTTTTGTCCCAAATGTCACAATTTATATGATTTTTAAGTTTCGTATTTTCTATTTTTTTTAATCGAGTTAATGGTATTTAATAATATATTTTAGCTTAAAATATTAATTAGTAATGGTTATTACGGATTTTGAGGGAGGATGTATAGTGACTCAAATCTTAAATGATACTACTCTTTCATGAGTACGGAAATTATTCATTTTGGTCTGTGTAAAATTCCACTATAAATATATGTATATATAAATTCACTGACTCACATCGAGACGTAATGTCTACTTTTGTCGAGAGAAAAGCATGTGATCTCTCATTTTCTTGTAAAGCTATTTCTCGAAATAGCTTTACTTTTCTAAAGGTGTTTTCAGGTTCAATGTATGTGTCAATGTGTGAGCATATTCCTCTATTAGCTGGTATATCATATTAGTCCAAACTCCAAAGTCCGATATCAGTGTAACGATATTGTCTAGAATATTTTGTTATTCAAAACCTAACAGATGTCGATCCAATTTAACTAAGAAGATGTGACGAAAGTAGATTATATTCTGGTGTTTTGGGAACCATTGTGCTTTCACAGTTCCATTAAACGAGTAAACGAGAGAAGATACAAACAAACAAACAAAATATTTGATAAATAGGGTAAATTATGGGTCGAAAATTGGATATAGTTATTTTAGAGTACATTTATTGTAACTAGGAAACAATCATGGTAAAGTTCGATTCCTAATTTCGATCTATATGGTGAATCTTTATTCGTTGGAATAAACCACTTGACCACACGTTCTTAGTTGAGATATAAGAGTTTGTTGTGAGACATTAACCGGTGAAACCAGAAAGGCAAATATAAGAAAATAAGAATAAAACTATTTGTTTCATTTTAAAATTTAATTGGAATATAATCAAGATTAGAAGTCAAGAAAGAGCTCATTCATTTGTGTGCTTTCACTTTGCAATTGAAAGCAGTTTGTCGTCAACTCAATAATATAGGTGAGATTTTGTTTACAACTATTCTGTCACTAGGATCACATATTCACATTTTAAAGTCCAAAATTTAAATTTATTTTGATCTGTCTATTCTCATCTGAACGAGTCTTTAAATTTATTGTAACATATATTTTTTTCATGCTTTAAACTATTTCCATTCCATTTTTCTTTTGGCAGAGACATCATTTGAAGTTACATTGGAAATTGGTTCCAATATAAAGTAATTAAGAGGAAAGCAGTGAATTAAATACGTAATTAATTGCTCAATACATAAGAGAAAGACGTTGATGATTCACAAATCAATCTTGTGATAAGGAGGCAAGGAGCTATGACGCTACCTTACTTATGAGGTATAAGGACAGCCAAAGAAAAAGTAAGCTCTATTCTCCGGATGCGTGTTATATAAGAGACAGTCGCTTAGAACATTTAGTCCCCAACTTAATAAATTATCTCTTGTTGGTAACCTGTTCCTCACAACAATATATATATATATAGAATAAAGGGAAGCATGCTTTGGCACTCTTTGGGAGAACCAAACGGATTTGAGCCATAGAACCGATGGAAATGTAAACTTTTCCAAGTGAGAGCAGTGGGGAACTGACCTGGTGGATCGAATATTGAATTTCAAAAAAGGTACACGTCTTCTTGATTTGGTTAAGAGTCAGGCGATTGAAGCGGTACACATTTTTTTGGTAAATTAATCAGTATATAAGATGTCTTACTGTTGGTAACCTCCAAACATCATTTAAAACAACTTTAGAGACTGAAGACATTAGAAACAACCAAGCACCTCACGTTAAAATATTTATTACTCAGCCGTGTGATAAAGATCAGTGACATATATCATATATGCATATTCGTATTTAATTTGCATAAATAAATATTATGTTTCACTTCAAAAAAGTAATTTCTCAACCGTGTTATTTGTATATATTCACTTCCATGCATGTTCACATTTCTTTTTTATTCTCATCCAAGATTGAAGCGATTGATTTAAATAGTTTCAACTGCCAGGGACACGTGAAAGCAACGATCGATCACGTGTGGTCGAATCAGACACACGTGCGACTGGTTCCCCACCGGTCAGGCAGCTGAAAAATAAAATTTACACGGCGGACAAATATTGACCAACCCAAAGTCTTACCCTTCAAGTGTTAAATTGAAAAAAGCATGGAGCTACGAGAGAGAATGAATCTGCCCTTTGATATGGTTGTTGGGTTCTTTGATACTACGCGACACGCGGTACGTAAAACTTGGTCCACTCATATATATTTTTCTTCCGTATAGTCAGTACGTATATGATATGATCCATTTGTAGTTTATTTAGATATCGTTTTTGTGGTCACGTATCCTTATAGATAATATATATGCCTATGTGATAAACCAATTTTGTTTTAAGACTAAGAGAATGACAGAGGCTATAATAGGTTAATTAATTAGGTTGAGTAAATTCGATGAGAGCATAATCAATAGTAGAACCCCTAATTAAGTTTTTAAGTAATATTAAATTATTAATTTTGAGTTAAGAATTTTTCTTAAAAAACTTAGATTTTGTAAATTCCAATGGTAGAACCTCTAATGAGGTTCTTAACAAAAATTGTAATTTATATTTACTAGTAAGATAAATTTATTTTTTGAATAACACATACATGATATAACAATATTTTAAACATAGATGAAAAAAAAAACATTTTTTAAATATAGATTTTGAAATATTTTAAACATATAAACGCTCAGATATTATCTTGATCACGTCCAAATCTGTCATATATGCTCAATCAAATCAGCTTTCAATTGTTGATGTGTTTGTTTATCACGAATTCTAGTTCGAACATCCAACATATTGGCAAGATTTGTAGGCATATCTGTAGAATACGTGAGATCCACATGTGAATTTCTGTTTCCTCTTCTTGTTGGAATTCTGAAACATCAAATTGAGTGTAACCATCCCGTTCGTCTTCTACTATCATATTATGGAGTATGATACATACTCTCATAATCTTTCCTATTTTTAATTTATCCCAAAAAAAGGCTGGATTTTTAACAATAGCAAATTGAGATTGCAAGATTCCAAAAACACGCTCGACATTTTCTTGGATAGCTTCTTGATGCAGAGCAAATAAATATGTTTTTGGGCCCTGTGGAAGTGGAATAAATTGGATAAATGTAGCCCATAATGATACCCTCTTCTGTTGACAGAGAAATTCAGTTGCAGAGCTTGACCTTTTATTATATCATCAAACACATGTGAGCGATCAAGAACATTGATATCGTTTAAGGTACCTAGATGTCTAAAAAATGCGTGTCATATTCAGAGATCATATGAAGCTATCACCTCTAAAACGATTGTGGGTTTTCTAGAACCACGCGAATATTGTATTTTCCAAGCGGTGGAGCAATTTTTCCACTCACAATGCATACAATCGATGCTTCCCCATTCTGGAAAATCCGCGTTGCTCTCCAATATCTAGTAGTCGTTGAAGATCCTCCACTGTGGGTCTTCTTAGGTATTCATCGCCAAACAAATTTATTATTTCTTCGATAAAAATTTTCAAACATGAGCGAACAGTAGTTGCACCGAGCCGAAGGTATTCGTCAATTGTATTAGCTGCAATGTCATAAGCCAAGAGACGAACTGCTGTTGTACACTTTTGAAGTCCCGAGAGACCAGGCCTTCCGAGAGCATCTTTCTTATGTCGAAAGAATCGAACTTCATTGGATAGTCGATCAATAATCTTCATGAACAGTGCTTATTCATTCTAAAATGGCGTCGGAATAGATTAGCATGGTATGTTGCAGTTTCACTGAAATAATCGTTCTATAAACGTATATGACCTTCTTCCCGATCTCTTTCGAAAAAAAAGCTCATTTTTTTATACTTGCTTGTCTCCTGATTTTCTCCATAATCAATAAACTGATTCTCAAAAGTTCGATCGAAGTATTGATTAAATTGTTGATCAAAATTTTCATCGATTGATACATCAAAAGTATTATTGGAAGAAGAAGCCATTTTTAGTTTTTGTTTATATTTTTTGTAGTGGAATTGCTCAATAAAAATGAGAAGGAGAATGACAGAAGATGATTGTTGTGGTGTTAAACGATTGTAAAGGATAACTAGAGAAGAAGAAACCATATATGAAAAAAAAAATACAAGAAGGAGAATGAGAGGGTTTGATCAAACGATTGAAAAAAAAAAGTAGAGGTTTACTAACTATATAATTAGAAGAGTCATCATACAATGAATACTTAGTTTGTGGTGTCAAAGCAAACAAATCGTGTGTGGTCTCAAATTATACATAAGAAAGAAAGAAAACCCAAAAAATCCAACAAACACCATCACTATCATAAATAAACAATACCATCCTTGTGACTTATCTTGGTCTTTTGTGCCGATTTCCAACACCACAATAATACACAACTCCTCCCTGAAACAGAAGCAACAAACATCATCACCATCATATACTAACCAAACAAATACAATCACAATCAAAGTCTATTGTTCAAACCTTTTACAAACACAAGATAACCAACCGAACATGAACCAAAGATAAAAAAAAAATTGATATGTTTTCATTTTATTTCATTACTAATTTTCTTGAACGATTTGTTTGTAAAACAAAGTGAAGCATCAGAGAACCAAAACAAAATGAGTCATCAGAGAACCAGATATAGTACCTCTTATTTTAATTTTCAAAAACTCCCTGATCCGTTGCTTGGCCTCTCTCTTCATGACTAAACCGATTGATATCTGCCAAAGGAGAGAGTTGATAGAACAAATATAAGACATTGCCATTAAAAAAATCGTTTCATTACATTCAAACATAGCTATAACACAAACAATGAAAATAAAACAAACAACAACTTAAGATGAGATCACTATAGAGATGTGATAACTAATTAGACAACTTAAGCTATAAAACAACTTCAAGGATTAAAAAAAATAAAATAAGAGTTGACCACTAGTTAGACAACATGTCTGTAATGAGCTTTTTTTTTAATGCTTCTTCATACTCAGATAATGATTCTTTTTTTTTTGCGATAAGGCTGTCAATTAGTCCCATCTTCTGAAGTCTTTCTTTCATCGCCATGTCCTTCTCTTTAATCAACCACATGCTCTGAAACTCTGACAAAGCCTTGCCATCCATCGAAGCCCTCTTACCTCTACTTTTTGCTGCCTTAACACCAGGTGGCCGGTTGCTTCCTTGGTCATCTTCGACAGTGTTCCTTTCCTCTGCGTGAGAAAATGATGAATGTGGACCATCCTCACACCTTCTCCTTTTAAACATTCCTTCAGTTTTATTTGTAGATAGCTCATTCCACTTCTGGTCATTGCGAAGCTCCTTCCAAGCATGGTCAAGGGTAAATTTTTTCTTGGTCGTTGTAGAAGATTTCATGTGCGAGTTTCAGGACATTATTGTCATTCTGTCCAGAAGCTTTCTCTCTTGTTCCTGCCTCGTAAGATCCACAAAACTTGCACATCAAATTATTAATTTTTTGCCACCGTTGCTTACAGTTGCTTGCTTCTCTTCTTTCTCGTTCTGCAGCTTTGGGACTAGTGGAAAAGTATGCTGCTATCTGTTTTCAGAAAGCACCAGACTTTTGCTTATTGCCAACCACCGGGTCTTTGCTAGTGTTTAGCCATGCGCTGATGAGCAAGACATTATCTGTAAGGGTCCACTTCCTCTTTTCTCTACGCTCTGCAGTAGTGTCTTCATTGTAGCTTGAAGCTTCTGTGCATTGACTGCTAAAGAGAGGGATTTAGTCGAGAGAAGGAAAGGGATCATGAAGGGTATGTTCTTGTTGACTGTTTAACAGGTCAACAAAGTTGGAGGATTGAGTATATGGATTCGAAGAAGAGAAATCTATGGAGAAAGAAAAGAAGTGATTGTGTTTATAAGAAAAGAAAGAGAACAAGCACAATAAAAAAAAAGAACAATGTGGTTGATAGGTGATGAAAAGAGAGAGAACAAGCACTAGTGTTTATAGTAGAAAACATAGGAAGAGAAAAAGCAATTAAATAAGCTTTGAAGCATTCATAACCCATTAATCACATCGAGTAGACATATATCTAACAAGTAGATATAGAAATAATCTTCTATCTAACCATCAATGACCTATCTAATAAATCCATTTCTTACCTAATAAACCCTAAACACACCTCACAGCTTAACCATAAATGACATATGCATTTATGTCCATCGAAAAGATGTGAAAACATACCTCACAGCTTGCAAAGCGAAGAGGGAATGCTTGTGGCTATTGATGCTCCTTACAGCCGTCGCTTTGGTCTTTACACCCCCACTCGCAGCTCAGAATTTGCAAACAAAAAACACAAAGAATTAGCAAAGAATACTATGACATTTAACAAGTAAAGAAAATTGGAAATGCAAACAAACAATTGAAAGATAACAAGAAAAAAATTAACCACTAACATTCAAATATATCAATTGTAGCTTGATAGAGAGCAAACAAAAGAGCAAACTAACAATTAAGCACTATCCATCAAATATATTAATCGGAGTGAAATTGAACTTAATCCAATAATTCAAAACCATCAGATCAAAATCGAATAGAGAGACAAACGAAAGAGCAAATAAATACAGATTCACAACGCAGGTGGAGAAATTTCAATTAGGATTAGCGATTCAACCAAACAAAAAAGATTTACAGAGTAGAGAAAAAACTTGATGCTCTAATTCTTTTATGCTCTTTTATTTCACGAAAACACCAGATACAAAGAAGAGATCGCCGACCGGTAGAGACATACAAAGCGACGGAGAAAAGAATTTTGGTCGGAGAAATCGAAGAGTCGGAGAAATGAATTTTGATCGAAGAAGAAGAAAGAACAACAAATTTTTTTTTAAATTCTTTGGCCCAATTAAAGCAGTGACACGTGTCTCGTAAGAACCGCTTTTTACGGACTTTAATTAAAATACGGTTCTTAAGTTTTATTGTTTTTTTTTTATTTTAAAAACTTGAGAAAAGGACTTAAGGATGTATGTTGAGAAGGATGTATGTTGAGGATGCTCTGAGTTAAATTAAGTTACGTTGATTATATTACGTACGTGAATTCGCTCACACTAATCAAGAAAAAAAAAGACTGGATTACGTTTGAATTTTCAAACTCGAGTAGTTTGAGTATACGTATTTTGCTTCTATTAACACTGTTATTTAAATTTTATAAAACTAATTTTTTTTCTTAGACCAAACATATAGAATGACAAAGAGAAATTAAAATTTTGTCTTTCCATATTCTCATAAACTATTTATTATCTAAAAAAATAAAAAGATACTTTTCTTAAAAAAATAAAGGACGCTTAAAAAAATGAAAAGTAGATAAATTGAAGTTCTGACTTTATTTATAGACATCCCTGAACTTGTTTACAACGATCAACCATACATACGTGGCGCATATAGTAGTCGAAGGAGTAGAAAACAGAACCACCAGCCAAAAAAAAAAAAAGAAAAAAAAACGTATCGGCCACATTGCCAAAGCCAGATATTACTTGCTTTGGAATCATTGCTAGTTTTGGGGAAAAAATGCACGTGGAACACATGCCCAAAGCATTTTCTCATTAAAATACACGTGTCCACAGTCGATTTTTCCAGGCAGCTAAGAGATTAGACAAAGTTCACGACTCATCATAATTCGCCAGCAAAATAAACTTTTTTAAAAAATTTTCCCTGTGCCGGCCGATATGTCTTCGGGAAACCAATAGCGATGATGACATTACATGCATCAGTAGATACTCTTGACATCTGTTTTGTATGATTTGATTAAATAGTGATCTCTAAGAGTGGTTGGTTACTTAGAGAAGTATTGTCAATTTGTTATTATTTAGATATTTGGTGAAGACTGAAGATTGATTCACACTGTTGTTCCTTTCGTCCCACAACGTTCGGTTCCAGACCTTAAAAGTTTTTGCTAAGATACGCAACGAGATGTCGGCTATGTAATTCCTGCTATCGTACGCCGCCTAGCTAAGCTTATTTTATTATACGGTCTTCTACTTTATTGACTTAAAAGAAGAGCAAAACTTCGAGCCGAAGCAGTTGTTAGTGTTAGTGAACCTTTTGCTTTGCCGTACAGATGTTGGACATTTATTATTTTTGTTACAAACTTTAATAATTAACCAAAACAATTCAAAAAGAAAAAATAACTAACTAATTCAGTAGTGCATAGTCCTGCCAAAGTCATTAGTCTACTATATATGACAAATTTAGCCTACTGTAGGTTATGATTAGTCTTAATGAACTCATCAAATTCAACAAGATAATTTGGAAAATTTAGCAATATCTCAGAGGTTTTGTTTTTTTTTCCCTAGCCAGTACGTACTACAACTAAAAGTTTGAGGTCATCGTTTTATATATAGTTTTTGGAATATGAACTTGCTGTTGATCTCTTTATATAATTCACAAACCATAAATAATTTTACCCACTAAAATATGGAGTATAGTATATTTATCCACTAAAATATGAAGACTTCATCATGTAAAAAGTCTCTAACTTCGTCCATATACTAGTAGCATTCTTTTCGTATAAAACTTCAATGATGATCTTATATGCAAGATACAAAATGATCGTTGATTGTGCTTTCTGCATCTGCTAGGCTCGCCATCTCAACAATGTTCTCTTTTTATGGCGACGCCCATAAACCTTACTTTTTCGACTAACTTACTGAAACTTTTTCTCCTAGTATATTTGTCGGTTTTCACGTTCATCGCATACATTTTCTCACCATATTACAAAAGCAGATAATTTTTGTTTGACTTTGGTATCAGTTTGTTCCAACAGATGTGAGAAAAACAGATATATATATATATATATATAATATTATTTCAAATAAATTTTAAAAAATTATATGCGGAAAACAATTTTTTTTTATAAATTAATAATTATTAATTTATAGATAAATTAATAACACGATAAATTAATAAAATATCATGATCTCAACATTATTAATTTATAGAAGTTTTACTACTATATATATATATAGTACAACATGATGTATTGGTTATGTTTAGGGACAAAAGAAAACTAATTTAACTAATGAAAGAAGAATTTTCAGTATTCAACATAAATACATAAAATAAGAGTATTTATAGAGATCTCATAATTCAAGCATAAGATGATTTGATCCAAAACCCTATGCCTAAATATATTCAAAGTATATTCATGCAATATTTGTACTAGTAGTAATGTTGATGTATCAGTAATTTAGTTTGTATAATGAATGATCTGATGTTAGAAAAAGAAAAATCATAAACGGCACATTAAGAACATGCCTCTGCCTTGTTTATGGTGTGCTTTTTTGTAGTTAAAAATATAAAAACTAGACTTCATGAACAAAAATATAATTAAGGAAACATTGAGGTTGCAAATGGTGGTTAATACTGGTTAGTGAGTGGAATAAGTCGAATAAGAGTAATAGATTGATAATGATGAATGGAACTGGAATAAGTGGAATAATGGTTGTTAAAGGGGAATAATTGTTCCAGTAATTCCTCTCTTCTTATGAGGATGATAATTTTGAGCGTAAATGTACTTTTTTATCCAATATATGGGCTTGCAGATTTTTTTTACAAATGGTACATTTTTGGCTGAATCAAATAGAATTACATATTAAGTCGGATTATATCCTTCTATTAGTTCTATATAGTCAACCAATTGCAGCCTAAAAAATCTTAGGTTGAAAAAGTAGAGAAGAAGTCCTTAAATTAGATTAAATATTAAAATCTAGAAAGTCTACATTAAGTTTGGTAAAAAAAAAAAGAGAGTTTCTATTAATTGGGACAGTTTCGTCAAGGTGGTGGAGCCATGTGCCTAACTAACTACTCCTCTTGGCCTCTCGTGAGGCCGTCCGTCCATTATTCGTCCTTTCAAGTACTTTCAACTTTTCTTTGTTTTTCAAATCTATTTTAAAAAAGATTTTGTTGTAAAAGTCATACATACTATTATATAAATTTGTGTCTGCTTATGTTAGTGGGCCACCAATATTGCCTTATGGCACTTGTTATCTTATTGATAAGCTTAATAGACAGGAGAAAGCAGGAAATACATTAAGTGGGCAAAGTAGTGGCTATGGCCTCGATCATATTTTATTTTCCTGTAAAAGCTTAGATTATCAACTCTCAAGTTTTTGTAATACTCTTTGCACTATCAAGTAACAACTTCAGGTTATCCATATATCTTCAAAACTTGAAATTCTAGTGATTCCTATAAGTTGAATAATGTTTATATGTTTTCAGAAGATGAACCTTTACTGAATGTAATAGCTGACTTTTAATTGAACTTTGTAATATAACACTTCTCCATAAAATTGTAGAGTGTCCAGAATAGTCTTGCATTCCTTTTCATTTGCTTAGCAAAAGATTAAGGGATCATCTGCTAAAATCAGATTTAAAAATTCTTATAAGAAAAAAAAAGATTTTGGGGTCTTTAAACATTTTATATACATTCTTTTTACAAATATGGATTATAGGTCTTACGGTTTCAAATTTCTTCAGGTCAAAGATCGAAATAAAAGGAAACAAAAAATAATATATATATATATATATATATCTATAGATCTTGTCTGAAAATATACATTAAAAAAGAGTAAACTATATAATTTATAATGGAATGGAGAGAGACAGATAATATACTCTATTATATTAGTTAATGATGTATAAGTATATATATATATTTATTATTTTTTTACTGCAATGTCTAAGTATGAAATGAGTGACAATAATTAATCCGAATTCGTAATGAAATGAAAAGAATAAATTATAACTATAAGTTTGATAGAATGCTACTATACAGAAGTGAAACAATGGCTGGTTCTGTACATAACTTCTATAATAAATAAATGGGCCTTCAAGGGCAATAGTATATAAAATTACATTCCGGCCCATAAGATAACACGATTCGATTTACGAAAATTTGATTCTCCAATATATACAAGGCAATCTCTGTGGGAATTAATGGCTCAGATGCTATAATTTGTAAAAAAAAGTCTGCTGTGCCATATTATAGGTTAAGTGCCATAAATCACATGAAAATTTCATTTTACATTTAATAAATTGGTTTATGGCATATCTGATTTTATCCAAAAATTAATATTTAAATAATTTCGTATATTAAAATTAAAACAAAAATTAATTACAAATATGATTTTTGTTTTTCTTTTCTTTCCAATTCATGTCTTCCTCTTCAACTCCAAACTTTCTAAATCTCATTTTTTGCCTTTGCCTCTTCCTCCTCTTCTCCTTATTCATCCTCTGTAATCAGTTTTTTGTCTTTATCTCTTTTCTCTACCATTATTGTTGAAGTTTCAAAACCCAATTAAGTTTTTATTTAGAGATTTGAGAATTTCACAATTTAGGGATTAGATTTGTCAAAATTGTTTGTTCAATATGCAAATCGGGTTGGTAACCCAATATATGTGACGATTAGATCTTTGCATAGATAATTTGTTGAATATAGTTGTTGAATCGTAGTGATTCTTAGATAAATTAGAATTGAAACCCGAATTCATCACCAAATCTGCAGAGAAGGACAACTGGTACAAATGGTACAACTAAGAGATAAGAGGACAATTAGTACAACTGGTACAACTATGAGATAGAGGACAACTGGTACAATTAGGTATAACTAAGACAACTTAAATAATTGCTGATTGAAAATTCTTCTATTATAATTGAAAATCGGATTGGTAACCCAATTTTATCTGACGATTAGGTATTTGCATTGATAATTTCTTAAATAAAGTTGTTGAATCATATTGATTCTTAGGTAAATTACAATTATACCTGAATTCATCACCAAATTTGTAGAGAAGGACAACTAGTACAATTAGGTACAAC